ATGGTTCAATTTTTACAATTAATGAACCAATATTAATAAATTATCAAGTAAAGACCAGGCTTTATTCAGATTCCATTCTGGTTTACCTCATGTTTTTTCTGTACCAGATTTCCATCCACATAGCACACTACCTTAAGTTCTCTTTTCTCCTTACGTTCTTCTCGGTTGTGGCAGTGTCTCAGACTTCTTTTTTTTAAATAATTTTTAATATGTATTTCCATTTAATCACTGTACAACTTTACAGTGTACAATATGTTTATTTCTTTTCTTTTCTTACATACAATAACTGTACATCTTTTGTTTAGAAAGAGAGAGTGAGACTTTTGCTACAAGGCATATGAGCTTGCCAGAGAGACAGAGAGACAGAAAAAGAGAAATTACCCTTCTGGGGTATGGCTATGCCATAATCACTTCTCCATTTTCTTCTCAGAATTTTGGGTGTAAACACACACATGCCCCGCGTGACTGCCATGTCCTTTCAACATATTCTCTTTAATTTTTTAATTTATTTTTTAAAAAGCAATTCCTGGCACTAGAAGATGCTTCAGGTTAATACTGTAGATTTTCTGTTCCAGTCTTAGGATCAACCATTTTTGAAACTAGAGGAGACAAAGACAAGGACATTCTAATATCTACAATAAACAATAAAACCTGACAAATAGGTGATTACTGAGAAACTAGATCTGAACCAATTGGAAGCAAGATGGCATCTGGACCCGTCATTGTACTGCATTAGCACATCTGATGACACTCTCATCTGTTTACACTGAGAGGACAGTTTACAATAACCATGACAATGACCACAACTACTGTAATATCGTCAGAAGATGAGAGGGATAGTTCCAGGAAAACTGTTGCCCATTCCCTAGAAGTATCATGAATAAATTTTCCCTTCCTTAGCCTGAAAGCAAGTCAAGTCATATAAGGCAGACACCCACTGAAGTTCAGAGTTGCCTGCCTCTGAAGTAACCCTCTATCTTTTCTTTCAGATAACAGTTCTCCCCCTCCTCTTAAGGCTTATAGCCAGAGAAGTGTTGGATTGCGAAGCTAGTCCTGGGCTAACTCTGCCTGATCTTGTGCACCTTTCTCCTCTCACTAGTCTATTCCACTTGTGGAGTAATCTGCTCTGTACACTTTCCTTAGTAAACCTGCTTTCACTCTCTATCAAGGTTCACTCTTCAGTTCTTTTCTGCACCAAGCTAAGGACCATCCCATTCTGGGTAGAGATCACCGTTGTTGCCAGGCCTCCCTATCAAAAATTTCTCCAGCAATCTTGGTTCCTTTAACTGGAAAATAGTATTAGGAAACAAGATTCAGGCACTAGTTGAACTGTGGCTATGCAGATGCCATTGCTTGTAGGTCATCTCAGTTGAGAAAAAAAAGAAAATAGATATGTATGTACTAACACATATCTGTATACACGATCATTTGCATATATTTAAAGTAAACATGAGGGGCCAGCAGGTGGCATAGTGGGTAAGGCACTGAGCTCCCACATGGTCAACTGTGGTTCAAGTCCTGACCTTGGAGGCTTAAAAGTCAAGTGTGTGTGTGTGTGTGTGTGTGTGTGTGCATGCACACACACACGCATGCCCAAATATTGGGCGGAAAGTGGAAGAGAAAGGATTGTGGAATGGCAATCCCTTCCAGGGAGTGATTTCTCACTTTCCCTCTCACTCTTTCTGGCAAGCACACTCACCATTTGGCAAGAACCTTAAAAATGCACAAAAATAATAAAATAAAGTCAACATAAGTCTATAGTAATACTTTTAACTCTACCTTGTTACTATATGGGTATTCTAGTGTCTTCTTTATGGTTATCTATGAATTATTACTCCAAAAGCAAGAAACCTGGGTCCCTGCAGCTACCATAATTAACTTAATTATATAATTCCAGTAAACACATTTAGATGTATCAGAATTTTTAATCCCCAAGAAGTATTAATATGTTAGTATTATATTTTTTTCTACATTATTTTAATTTAAAAAAACCTGCATCTTTATATTTAATGTGTTTTTTTTTTTATAGAGCCAGTGTAGCAGGTATTTTTTTTCTTCTAACTAGTGTATTTACAACACTCATATTTAAAGTGATTGTTTTGTTTATATACTGGGATTAGTACTTAACTTGCTGTAGCTATTTTTTTTCTCGCTGTATTTGTTCCTTTTTGCCACCCATCTTTTTGTATCTCTAGGTTTAATTGAGCATCCTGCATGCTTCCATTCTTTTTTCTAATGATGTCTTGGTAACTGGAATCTAGTTAGACAGGCCTTTACTATTTCAGATTTCATGTTGATCTGTTTAGTAATAAGGCTGCTTTTAATGCTTTCTATAGCGGTCAAATGTTTCACATTTCTTCAGTGTTTTGTTTTGTTTTGTTTGATGGGTTTGAATTTTCCTAAGCACTACTCAGAGAGAGAGTCCCAGGTCTTCCAACTCTCAGCTATAGCATTTTCTTTCGTTTGTTTGTTTTGTGTTTTTCCATAGGGCATATACACTCACCAGAGAGGGATAGAGAGAGGGAAAGTGAGAAATTACCACCACCACCCCCAGCCAAGGGGACATAGCCACACAGCAGTTCCTTCTCCTTCATTCTCCCACTGGGATTTTGGGCATGCAATCAAATGCACATGACATGATTTTTAAGCCAGTGGGTCCAGGACTCCAACCATGATCTGACATGTGAGAATTTAGCACCTTCCCCACCAAAACATCCACTGGCCCCATCAGCTATAACATCTTTTAATATACTGGAGTCCTATTGGTGGAAAATTATTCTATAACATTGTGATTCAATTTCAGTCACTAGTGGAATGATGACCTTCACATGTATTTCTTATTTGTAGTTATTTTTGTTTCTTTTTCATTTTATTTTATTTTTTAAGAGAGTTTTTTGTGCTTGCTGGAGAAAGAGAGACAGACAGAAAGTAAGAAATCACACCCCTCAGGAGGGATGGCCACACTGCAATCCCTTTTCCTCCATTCTCCTCTTGGGATTTTGGGCACACATGCACATGCGCTTGGCGTGAGGTTGTTTTTCTGTTGTTGTGGTGGTTGTTAGAGGTTTATGCTATAAGGCGTGTGTGCTCACCAGACAGAGAGAGAGAGGTAGAGAGACAGTAAGCGAGAAATCACCCCCCACGGGGGATGGCCATGCTATTATCTCTTCTTCATTCTTCTCCCAGGATCTTGGACACGCATGCACACACGGCATGAGTTTAAGCCACTGGGTCTGGGACTCGAACAACGGCTGACTACATAAGAGTCCAGCAACAAAGCCATTATGCTAACTGCTGGTCCCACTTGGCATGGTTTTAAGCCACAGGTCTGGTACTGAACCATAGTCAACTATGTGGGAGTCCAGTGAAGTAACCATTATACCATATGCTGGTCCCTTCCTTTTCTTTTACTTAAGAAAGGAAATTAGAGTGGTCTGAAATAGGAGAAACACCCATTTCCCAAAACTCTGGTAATTTTTTTTTAACCCGGGATCAGAAAACTTTATTATGGAATATGTTGGGGCCATATTCCAACAGTTATTTTTCCCCCTTTCCCCCCCAGAGCAACATAATATCTTTCTTTGTTCTTCCCAAAGAGAACCTGACATGGATTTTGAAATTAAAATATGTAAAAATGTGGCAACTCCAAAATTCCCTTGAGTTTTGCATTGTCCATCTTTAATATCCAGCAGTTTGTCAAAATTTCCATTTTATTGTTTCTACCAGTTCAGAGCTCCAATGGTTCCTGATTAAGTCCCAGGCTCTGGACTGGTCTCTCTCTCCAGATTTCTGGATGACAGTTTGTCACGTGACTTTAGCTCTCTGATGGGTTCCAGAAGTCATTATTTTATTTATTTTTATTTATTTTTATTTTTTTATAATAATTATTTATTTAATTTGATGTATTCATTCATTTATTTTAATTTGACCAGAGAGAGACACACAGAGAGAGAGAGAAAGAAAGAGTGAGGGAAAGTGAGAAAGTAAGCCACCACATCCGGGACTTGAACTGTGGGCAGCCATGTAGGAGTGTCCAGCACTTTAACCACCACGCCACCTAAATTTTCTTTCTTTCTTTTTTTTAATTTTGCAAATACAGGAGTGATGACTTCTAAGATTTTTTTTTTTAATGTTGAAACTGAAACCATATGCCTACATTTATCTTTTAATATCCTTCTATTCTCATCGTCTTCAACAAATACCAAATAAGTATATACTAATAATTGCAGGTTCTGAAATGAATCAAATATCTTCTTAGTGATTGACACTAACCTAGTAAGAAAGTGGGGAAACAAGTTTTCACTTTCAAGAGATGAACAGTTATATCTGAAGACATATCTTAAATTGATGCTTAGACAGCCCTCTTACAGAGGAGAGGTTATAAACTACAATCTCTAACATAATTAAGCACAGTAAATTTATGAATCAATAACAAAGGTTTAAGGAGGTGCCATTAAGATATACATGCACACTTAAATGACAATTACATAAGGGTGCATATGCTTTTATGTGAACTAAGCATATAATTAGGTAATTATTATGCTGATTTGATTTTTTCTACTTGTGTCCTGAAAGAAAAGACAAAAATTAAAATATGAAAACAAATTTTACTTTCATAGTGCTGATTTGCAACAAGAAAAAAAAACTTAGTGAAGCTTTTTTTTTAACATTAGCAATAATGCATTTTCTGAATAAAAAAAAAATAGAAAAACTACTGTTTGAAAAACTTGATATTTAATAGAATTAAGTTTTTATGAAAGAAAAAAAACAAAATTGACCAGGTTCTATTTCTACTGAACACAAATCATTTCAGAAAAGTGGATCTTTGGGCAGGCAGGTGACACGGTGGCTAACGCTCTGGATTCCCACATGGCAGACCACAGTTTGAGACCTGAACCTGGTTGTTTGTTTTCTCTCTTTCTCTCTATCTCTTTTTGGTCATATTGAAAAATAATCATAGTAAATAATATTAATACTTCGTTTTCAAAAAGTATGTCTTTTTCTCCCTAAATAAAAACCAGCAGTTTGTTGAAGCTGTTGTTTCCAAGCAGAAGCCTAAATAAACATCTTTTTTATGGTCTGATGGTCATTTCAGGACTTTGGAAATGTAATGGCAATTCATTAGGAAGAAATATCTAAGAAAATTTTTTTAAAAATGCGTGTATTCATGTTTCTTTTTTACCTTAAAGAGTCTGTTTTCAAGATGAGCACTAAATTATCATTAAAATTAATCAATGTTCTATCAATCAATAGCAGATGCTGTATACCATTATTCATATACACAGTAAAGAATTTACCAAATATTTCAGTCAACAGATGGTGTAATGGTCAACCACTTCTACATGGCCAACCATGGTTCAAGTCCTGAACTCGGTGGCTTAAAACTCACATTGGGTGCATTTGCATGCCTAACCAAAATCCCAAGAGGAGAATAGAGGAGAAGGGACTGCACTGTAGCCATGCTATGATTTCTCGCTTTCTCTCTCTGTGTCTCTGGTGAGCACGTGTGCCCTATAGCAAAAATCTCTCTCAAATAATAATGATAACTTAATAATTTTTCTATTTCAAGTATCTTTAGCATGGATAAAAAAATAAGGAATTACTTCTACTGTCACTGTAATTGATAAAATAAATTTTAAAGTGTAAAGCAATAGAATTAGATCAATATAGAAAAGGAGGTAAATTATTTCAGAATGGTATTTTTCAAAGCTCTGTTGAGATTGCTCAATCTTCTGTTTTAAATAAGCAAGAAAAAAGGGAGAAAACCAAGAGTAAATTAGTTTATTAGGAATCATGGAAACCACCTTAAATGAAATTGCATATGTACATGATATTACTAAACATTATCCCAGTGGATGTAAGTGATGAATTTCTGTACTGAAGAAGAGACTTCTGTAATGAAATATGCTCTGAGGCAGGAAGAGATTTGTATTTGGTTCCAAGACCACATTCTCCAGAACAAACTACCAAAAAGTTGTTAGAAGTAGGTTTATCAGGGTTCAGCCCCCTGGGAAATTCAGATGAGAAAACTGGGGTCTGGGACAAGGTTTCAGTCCTAGCAAGGAAACTACAGGTGTGATCATTCCCTGAGGCCTAAGTGTGATCAAGATGGCATGGAAACTGAGCAAGATTGTTTCACTAGGAGTTGCAGGTTAGAGCATATGGACAGAGATCTGGCCAAGAGCTGGAGTTAAAATAATTAAGACAAATGAGATGGCTCCTGATGGTATAAGAGAAATTAATAATAACGTCTTACCAGTATGCATGTGTCAATATCTAGAATGGGCTGACTGCAGCTACAACTGTAATTCAAGAGTAAGGGTGGCAGCAATAAATACTTGGAAAGTTTAAATGCATATGTGTACTTTTAAAGTATATAAAAAAAAAATCTGAGTCAGTGCAGAAAGGTCCAAGTAAATTACTGTTTTAATCTATCCAATTCTGAATAATGTTATAAAGTTAGCATTTCCCACCACAAGAAGTCTCTAGATATATAATTAATAACTATATTACCTCTATTTGCCAACAAAATATTATAAGATAGTGCATTCTTTATTTCACCATAATAAAGTGGTTAAGTCAGAAATAGCCCTAAACCCTCAAGCTGTGTTTATAATAGAAATAGGCCAATGTAAAGAATTATAAACTAATGTATTTACAAATGTATGCCATCTTATTACTGTGTTAATTTATCTCTTTAAAAATCCACAGGAAGCCTCACTAGATTTAAATTGTTTGGCAGCTTACCTTTCAGGTATACCAGGTATTTACATACTTTTTCTGCTTGGACAAATGGCACGACGTAGCAGGAACAATGTCCTGACTTATACAGTACATTTGAGGGCAGCAGTGGGATTTATGACATCATTTTCTCATGGATGAGAAAAAGCATATTTTTATGATATAGAAGCAGTCTTCACTGTGTTTGTTAAAGCTTTCAAAGCCTAAATGACAAAGCATGCTTCATTTCAATAGTAAAATTAGAAAGTCCACTTTGGTTAATAGATCTTCCAGTGGCTGTACAGTTCATGCACCATGTGGAACTCATAATAGCTCCTGACAAAGATTATTAAAGTTAGATATTATATCTGATTACATTTAATTATTCAGAATCTTTGTAGCATGTAATAAGATATCTTCCAGTATAATTAGAGACATAGCAGCATCCTAAAAAAATAAAAACTATAGCATCTCAGTAGCAATTACATTTTCTAATACACTATAGGCTCTTCTGCTCTTTGAGGCAGGATTTTTCCAACCAATTACTGATTGCCATTGGAATAGATGAATTACTTGCTTTTGTAAAATCCATATATAAAGGAAACACCACTCTCCACCAAAAGTGTTTGCTTGCTACATAATGAATTGCAAGAATTTACCAGGACTTATCATAATAAGCTTTGTAATGTTAGTTAGCCTAAACACAACTCATGTTTTCTGTACGTGAACATTAAACATAGTTCTTGAGCAAACCCACACATGCTGATATGACATAGTACCCTTGGCTGCTTTTAATAACACTCTATTTATAACACTTGACACAATGTGCCCTTTCTGAAAGTGAAACATGAGCACTATGTTAAGAATGTAATTCTCTATAAAATAACCCTGAGATTATATTTTTAATATAGTACAAATAAACTTACATTTTTATAGGTTGGAAGAAAGCCATAAGTATAAGGTTTATGGTACTGATTCATTATTTTTCTATTCAGGAGCAGGTTTACTCCTCGCAATAAACTAATTTTTCATGCATTCAATACCAATGTTTTATTTTACATGTTATAATACTATTAGTTAGACCAATATCTTACCTTATGTTCTTAATCCAAACAATGATCTGAACTACCTTCTCTCTGGACAGTCTAAACTATTACTTTTGATGTTAATTGGTTTTCCCATTTTAACTCTTCCAAAAGAAAGCATGATAGCAAAAACTCTAATCTTTCTAAGATCTATTTTTTTTTTGTTAATCCTATTCACACATAATCCTTCTTTCTGAAAAGACAACTCTAAGTTTACTGACATTAATTCTTTACTTTAGGGGGAGAAAAAGAACTAATGGATACCATTTAGAATATAAGAGAAGAAAGCAATATATCTTGTAATTTTAATACTAAAATTTTTGTTATGTATTTTACTACAAGAGAGCCTTCTGATAGGGAAAGCATGTTAATTTTGTTGATGTAAACATTATGTAAACATCACATGTAAACACCACACATCACATCATATAAACATCATATGTAAACACCACACCCTCATATCTGGAGATTTCAGTCAATGGAGGCCAGGTTACAACGGCCATTTCTCAAAATAAACTCACCATACACTTGCTTTCCCACATTGCCGCACCATAAGAAAACTTTTTGAAAAACTCTTCGGAGTATTAAAATGCACTTCAAATATATCTCAAAGAAACAAGTGTTTTACAAATGAGAACAAGTCCAGGGACTGTGAGTTATGTTTCAGAACTACACGTAATTCAAAAACTATGGTGCAGAAGTTCAAAATTTTGACTTAAATTCAAAGAAATCTTAGTGTGTAAGTTCTATATTTTGCTTCGATTTGACTGGGTTGAATAAATTGTTGGACAAACAAGCTTTTTGAAATCACTAAACTTTGTCCTGAAGAAAGTGCTACCCATTTATTCTCTAAGTGAAAGTAGGAGCAGAAAACTGCAAATCTACTCATATATTATATTTCAGGGTGAGATTTTGATCAATATTAAGATGCACCAATATTACACACATTCAACTAAGTTTGTTTAATATTGAAAGGGTGGTGCCAAATATTACATAAATCAGTTACCCAATTGCATTCATTATTTATTTCTCAAGTTAAGGCATACTATTATGCAATCACTGGTGCACTAACACCTGCATAATTTTTGATAAATACAACGTATTAAAGGTTTGTTTCTGTTATCGTCAGAAAAACATTCCTATAAAGCATGCACAGAACTCCAGTGAGGTGTCCACAGAGCAGCAGAAAAAAAAACGAGAATAAAATATGACTTTTTTTCTCATTTTCTCCCTTGATTCTTATAAGTTACACTTGAGAAGCATTAATAAGGTTACTTGGAAAGGTTATGGAGCTGTCAGTATTTCACTTCTTAAGAATATGAAATGTGTATTTTTTAAAAGGTGAATACTTAACTCCTTTCATGGGGGGGGTTGCAGTTTCATGATTAATGGAGCATGCAGATCATGAATAATACAGAAATGAAGACTGTTTTTCTTCTTTTTATGCCCATTTTCTCTACAAAGTAGTTCCAATCTTCTAATAGAGCTTCTATAAATCTATCACTGAGTCAATACACCTTATTGAAGGTGAGATGGGGCAGATTAATGCTCTAGTGATAATCTAATGAGCCTTCCGTTATCTTCAAGTACCTTACTACTGTGATCAACTCATGGCAGTGATTTAAATGTCAGCTTTGCTTAATATAAAACAAACACTGTCCATGCAAATTAATGCATAGCTCTATTTATATTTTTAGACTTAAGTCTTTTTAAAATATTTATAGATACAGAAATTAGCAAGCCTTCTAGTTGAAAGTTTAAGACTATTACAAGATAGATGAAACAGACCAAGGTTAATCTCTCTCTCATTGCACTCCTACTCCCTCCACTCCAAATACTGCATTAAATTACATTGCAAATCCCTCTGTGTTAGGAAATTTTATATTTACACTTGAAACGGTTCAAACCCTCCAAGTGTAGCTATTGAAAGTTATTCATGGCATTGATTTACAAAGCTGCACAACACATCCACATGTGAGCACACAAGTATGACATTCATTTCTTTGAAAGTTTCAGGAGCTATAAAGGTTTAACAGAAAAGAACTGTAAAGCTGGTTAAACATTTGTCTTGTTTGTGTGTTTGTTAATTTAACTTTACTCAGAATGTTTAATGTTGCTGTGAAATCGTTTTATCAAACTCATTTTAGCCTCAGCTCTAATGGTTTTGGTGTAATGGACAAATTTGCCTTTTCAACCTGGTTACAGCTATCTGTTCACCACTCATGAGGTTACCCTGCTTTATTTGAACCTGTTGATACCATCTCATTAATACTGCCCATATCTACTTCTTGCAAGGGTTTCATAGACTAATGTCTGTGCAGGCAATTATTCA